CTCCCTATTCCAACTACATATGTATCTTTGTGAGGATGACTCTACTTCAACCAAAGTAATAAACAGCAACAGACTGAATACAGAAGAAGATATGAGAATAGAGCTGCCTTCTATAAAGTAATACATAAAAGCAACTTGCAAGGGTCGACCCCGTGGCGCACTCAGGAGAGTGCAGTGCTGGGAGTGCAGCAGCGCTCCCGCCACGGGTTCAGATCCTATATAGGGATGGCCGGTGCGCTCACTGGCTGAGCTCGGTGCAGCCGGTCACAAGAAAAAGACAAAAAAAAAAAGCAACTTGCAAAAACATAAAAACAATGCCACTCCTCACCAAATTTTTTAGAAATGTTATAGAAAATAGGTATTTTTCATTAAAAATATATTCAGGTTAACATGCAATGAGTTTATTGTTATTTTTAAATGAATCAATATTTTTTTCAATTTCAATATGAGAAACAAAGATAGATATAACTAAAAAATCAAAAGCTCTCCGGCATGAGCAATAACTTTTAAGAGGGTAAAGAGGTCCTAAGATAAGAAGATGATAACATCTATCTCAGAGAAAGAGAAAAAAATTACAAGTAAAAGAAGCAAATAAATAAACTTAAAACAAACATATATACTCTGGAAAGCATATCAAGGGGCATAAAGTATTAGACAACAAGAACACCAAGATCCAAAATGTGACACATTCAAAAATTATCTAGGGTTTTAAAACTAGATCTTCCCAAAGACAGAAACACTTTTCACATTTTGGAATTTATTTAAATGACTGACTGATTGCCTCTCCCACTAGGCTATAAGCTCCATGAAGATGTGTGAGTTTTGCTCACCACTAGGGCTAGCCCAGCACCTAGCACAGCAAGCATTCAAAAATATTCTTAAAAAGGTTGGCACGTGACTCACTTGGGAGAGTGTGGTGCTGATAACGCCAAGGCCACAGGTTCAGATCCCTATATAGGGGCAGTGTTATAACACCAAAGCACGGGTTTAGATACCTATATCAGCCAGCTGCCAAAAAAAAAAAAGGACCTGCAAACAGGTCTATAATGTGTCTATACAAAACTTAATGAAGATTTAAACTTATAATCAAAATTTACCTGTTTCCATAGTAATGAATTAAAAACCTACCATTCTCTGAGGACCTATTTACTGTATACCAGGAATTGCACTGGGCACAGGGACAGAACCCTGGACCTTGGTGTTATCAACACTATGCTCTAACCAACTGAGCTAACTGATCAGCCCCTGCACTGGGCATTTTAGATGTTTAATTCCCACAACACCCATGGGACATATTTCACAGATAAGAAAAATAAGGCTCCAAGAGGTTAACTTGTCTAAAGTTACAGGTAAAAAAGTGACAGAGGGCCGGCCCGGTGGCGCACTCAGTAGAGTGTGGCGCTTGGGAGCGCGGCGGCGCTCCCGCCGAGGGTTCAGATCCCATATAGAGACCGTGCTTTGGGTTGCAAGTTCAAGTAGCTGCTTTTTTTCATGCAACATCATTTTGACTTGAAAGAATAGCTGAACCACAAATATGGTTATCCAGACTTGGGTAGTTAGCAGACATTGGTTCAAAAATGAATAAAGTGAGACTGTCACTTCAAGAAAAACAATTGAGAGTAGTTGTTGCCAATTATAAGATTTCAGCTTTAAAGCAAAAATTAGGATTTTGGAAAACTTCTATTCACCATCATGTTTGACAGTTTTCCAATACTTGGCCTTTTCCAATATTTAAATTCTGATGGGTGTTGATATAAATGAAAGTGATTTTTTGATATTGTATAAGGTAAAATCCATTCAATGTGCAAGACAGACCAATAGATTTTAATGTTACAGAGTACAAAAAATTCACTGATATAATTCATATTTTCAATTAAATTGCAACTAACCTTAAAAAAATACTACTGGTCGAATTTTAGTGTAATATCAAAGAATATCTGCAATTATCTGAAAAAGCTATTCAAATACTCCTCCCTATTCCAACTACTGACAGAAAATTAAGCTCACATCTCTCTGCTCAAAAGCTCACTACATAATGGTGCTCAATACTGCTTGGTTACCTTTTTTCTTTCCATTTCTTTAAGTCACTTTTTCCTCCTTTTCCCAATCTCCCTCTCTCCCACCCCTTTGCTTCACTCAGTTAAGAAATATAGTAAGCCCTCTAATTAGGGAAGAATGCATGTTCTTATAACACACTATCAGAAACTTCAAGGGGCTGGACAGTGGCTCACTTGGGAGAGAACATGGTGCTAATAGCACCAAGGTCAAGGGTTTGGTTCCCTGTACCAGCCAACTGCAAAAAAAAAAAAAGAAACTTTAACAATTGTGGAAGTAGCATAAAAGGCTAAAGAAGAATATCAGATTCCAGAACATAAATTAAGACTGATCTTGTAGGATGACTTCACATCCAGTTACACAGAAGACATCTGGCTATGGACAGCACCACATCAATTTCTAAGGAACTGATTATGAGAGCCCCTGAATGTGGCCATCTCTTCAAGGCCTGAGCCATGACTTACCAATAAGGAAGTACCAAGACAGTACTTCTGCCTATTCCTTATCAATCTCTACAACCGAAAAACCAATACTAAAGAGACCAGAGTTCCCAAGACTTCCTCCAGGCCCAGGACAACTTGAATAAAAGGAGCTTTGTTCCCAAAGAACATACAGTCCATAATATCACTATAAGAAGAAAAGGTATTACTGTTACTATCATTCTCCCCACTGTTTCTGAACAATATGCAAACATTTCTTTTTTTTTCCCCCTCCTCATGGTGAAAGGATAAGAATAAAATTAGCATAAGTGAACTACTCTAGGAAAAATTACAATACCATAATACTGCCATGTTATTTGATAATCTCACCATTAGCCAATGTTTAAGAGAGGGATCCCCAGAACCTGTAAAAGTTTTACAAAGATTATGCGGAAATCTTTTCAAACCCCACAAAGCCCTGAATATGTCTTACCTCAAGATCCAGATTTAAGAAAATGTACAACATGAGAAAGACCCGTTACCATAAAAATGAATTTAGTTGCAATCTGCTAAAAAAAAATACCTCGCCAAAAAAATTTATTATTATTGGAAGTCACACCTGTGGCCTATCATTAGCTATATCAGTCTATATCACTTTTGTTAGTAATTCCCAAGCTTTGCATCAAAAATCTAGATTTACTAATATAACAAAATTTAAGTAATAAAAAATTACTTAAGCAATTAGATGTCACCAAATATATATAATCTACAAACAAGAATAAACAGGACTTCATAATGTTTCATTAAAAAAAGTTTGCTTTAGGGTCGAGCCCGTGGCGCACTCGGGAGAGTGCGGCGCGGGGAGCGCAGCAGCCCTCCCGCTGCGGGTTCGGATCCTATATAGGGATGGCCGGTGCGCTCGCTGGCTGAGCGCGGTGTGGCCGATCTCACAAAAAGACAAAAAAAAAAAAGTTTGCTTCAGTACTATCTAATAATTCTATTATTGGGGGGGGGGGGCAGCAGGGGGGTAATGAAATCTGAACCCTTGACCTTGGTGTTACAAGGCAGCACTCTAACCAACTGAGCTAACTGGTCAGCCCATACCTAATAATTCTAGAATACAAAAACAATTATTTCAAAAGTTTATACTCTCTCACTGATCCTTTCCCAATAGTGAAGATCCCTGCTACTATTCACTCTAAGAATGTGAATACAGAGTCTATGAAATCCCATCCTTTAAGTTCTATATGGCTGGCTAGCTCAGTTGGTTAGAGTGTGGTATTATACCACCAAGGTCAAGTGTTCAGATCCCAGTACCAGTCAGCTGCAAAAAAAAATTTTCTTTTAATTTAAAAAAAAATCTTCTCAAATCCCCATACTGGCCAGTCACCCAAAATTAAATCAATCGATCAATAAATAAATAACTTCTATACGGCTTCCTAATACTCAATACTAATACTTTTATAGTATTGCTGAATACTATAAAAAGTACCCAGAAATTAAAATTTGTAAAAACAATAAGTGGAAAATAAATAACCAATGAATTTTTCCACAAATTAAGTCTCTCATTTGCTTATGTTAATTTGCTAAACCTTTATCCTAGACAATTCTCCGAACCCCCAAAATTAAGAACTTTTGTTAAAAAAAAAAACTGCATTAGGAAGTTCTTGGTGAGACCTACTAGGCCTCTTTCACCAAAAGATACACACACATGTTAACTGTTTAGGACACATGAATTAAAACAGCAGAGCTATACACAGGAAATTTTTCTACAATGCTAGAAAAGGAAAAATTAGAAGCTTCTGTGGCAGTCTGCCTAGAACAGCCACCACTCTACCTTCTCCAAGACGTGCCCCCACCCTTAGGAGTGGGACCTTTCAGCTAATTATGTTTGCACTTCTACACTCCAACCCCATGGCCATAACTAATTGGACCAATAATGGGGAACTGAACCAAGTTCAACCAATCAAATTTTCCCTCCCAGGAATTTGAAATTTGGACAACATGCTAGTACAGTAGAGTTTGAGTTCATACGTGACCCTAGGAATGAAGCAGCCATTTTCTTCCAAGTGTAAAAACAGAAAGAGCCAGACTATAGAAAGACAACTAAAGCAGGACAAAAAGAGACAGGAGAGGATGCTGTCTGGCCAGCTGGGAGGAAAGTGCCATCAAGACAACCTTAGCTCCTGAATGCTTCCCAGTTTCTGGTTCACACCCCTCATGAATCCAACTGCTCTTGGGTTCTTTAAGATATCTCAGCACCCCTGCCCCCAAAACATTCCTCTTCCATTTTCTTGTCATCAAAAAAATCATGACAGTTTAGGACATAGATTCACACCAGGATCAACAAAGAAAGGATATGTTATTCTCATGGTTCATAAAGAATCTGAGAGGCATTACAGAAGTTGTCTCTATTCGCTATCCATAACCTTGGGAGAAATAATAGGACAAAAATAACTGAAACCAAAAAGCAAAAATCACCTATTTGCATAAGCCCTCAGCTTTGTGCTTCCCTTCCGTACTTACCAGTTCAAAAGTTCCGCTGGCTCACAGCAGGAGGTTTGAGCAGACTATGTTCAGCTCCTTTTAACACTGTAAATAATAAAATATTCATGTAAATGACTCATGAATCTCTTAGGAAACATTAAGAGCATAATTTTTCATCATGACTATATTGTACAGAAAATGGCTCCCAAATCTGGTTGAATTATTAGAATCACCTGGTGGACTTATAAACTGGATTTCCCTAACATCTAGAGAGTATCTGTAGCTGTAGAGGGGAAGTGAAAAATACAAGGGTACTTCAAAAGTTCATGGAAAGACTTGTATTATCTTTCAATTCTATTTTTCCAGAAACTTTTTGAAGTACCCTCATATATATTTTAAACAAAAGTCCTAAGCGATGCTGTTGAAGCTGACAAATAGAGTGTTTCAGGGAAGTGATTATTTAGGGTTTTCATTCAAAACCACATTATAGGGATTTAATATTAAAAATATATCTGACAGAAAAACAACAGCCAGCGTCACAGCAATATGCATCCTATGCAAATAATTACTGAACCCCCAGAAATAGGACCACTGCCAAAATGTCCAAGGAGCACAGCTCCAGGTGCAATTTCAGGTGCAAAATCACAATCTGCTTTTGATGCTGTGTTGAGACAGTATCTTAAAAATCCACAAGATGGTGATATTTCAAGTGGCAAGGAGTAGACTAAAGTACAATAGCTTCGAGTGCTTTCTTAGCTAAAATCAATTAATACTTTGAATGCTGCCAAAAAATAACTAAAAATTAAAATCAAGCTGGCCAGTTAGCTCAGTTGGTTAGACCCTGGTGCTAATAACACCAAGATCCGGGGTTCAATCCCTGTACCAGCCAACTGCCCCCCCAAAATTTAAAGTTGACAATTTTATAAACAGCAAGCCACTTCCACCTTTGACTTAATCTTGCAAAAAAATAGCCATGTTATAAAGTCCAAAAGGTCAACCAACTTTGCCCTCTGCACTCTACTTTTTGTTAAGGGCAGAAGGAAGAGGGGCAAGAACTAAATAATAAAACAAACTCTCTTACAGGCCTAACTCAAGAGAACGAAAGCTCCAAGGTATCTCCTATTATAAGTATAAATTAAGTTCAAGTTAATGAAACCCTGTAGTTGACAAGGGAATATAAAACTGTGTTCCTTACAAAATTAGAAATATTTTTATAAAATAAAGCTTGAGGAGGGCTGGCCAGTTAGCTCAGTTGGTTGGAGCACAGCCTTATAACAGAAAGGTCATGGGTTCAGATCCTAGTACCAGCCAACTATACCAAAAAAATAAAATAAAATAAGGTTTGGTATTTTAAGTACTTTAAAATACTTAAGAAAACATTCTTGCGTTTTTTTAATTTCTCCCCTCTTCTTCAACCTCACACAAAATTACGGCCAATTCAACAAAGGGATCATTTTACATGCCTACATAATTAATCTAGTATATTTCTCATTCACCTGAGAGCATGACAAAATGAAAACACAATAATCTGATGAAGAAATATTGGGATTCTAACTATAAGTAAACTTATTCATGAAATTAATATTTCCTTCTATTTTTAAACTTTTTTTCTTTTTTTTGTCCTTTTTGAGGGCCGGCCGCACTGCGCTCAGCCAGTGAGCGCTGTGAGTGCACCGGTCATCCCTATATAGGATCCGAACCCGCGGCGGGAGCGCTACCACTCTCCCAGGGCTGCACTCTCCCGAGTGCACCACGGGCTCGGCCCTAAACTTATATTTTTAAAGAGGGCTGGCCAGTTAGCTCAGTTGGTTAGAGTGTAGTGCTGATAATACCAAGGTCCAGGGTTTGATCCCTGTACATGCCAGCCACCCAAAAATAAAAATAAAATAAACTTAAAAAAATAAATACAGAGGGGCTGGCCTGGTGGCGCACTGCTACAGTGCGCCGCTTGGGAGCGTGGCGGCGCTCCTGCCGAGGGTTCGGATCCCACATACAGACCGGTTCCCGCTCACTGGCTGAGCAAGGTGTGGGTGCAACACCGAGGGTTGCGATCCCGTTGCCGGTCCTGGTCCGGTACGGGCGTGACACTGAGGGTTGCAATCCGTTGCCGGACACGAAAAAGACAAAAAGGAAATAAATAAATAAATAAATAAATAAATAATAAATAAATACAGAGATGTAATTCTTCTTCAGAGCATTTAAAATGAAAAGAGGTTCTGGCCAGTTAGCTCAGTTGGTTAGTGTGCGGTGTTATAACACCAAGGTCAAGGGGTTTAGAACCCCATACCGATCAGCTGCCAAAAAAAAATGAATAGAAACCTAGGACTTTATCGCCATAAAACCCTAGTGAAGGTCAAGAGGAGAAAAAGAAAAAGAAAGCTTGGGTTCAGACCTTTACAACAATGACGAAAGAATGTTAAGGAAATCCAAACTGTTGAAGAAAGATGGACATTTAACTTGCCTCTAAAATACCTGGATTAACGCCAACATAGGCTGCAGATTCAACCTAATGAGACTGGTCCCACTATAATCTATAAGAAACAGAATAAAACAGAAAGTATGGAAAATTTAATCAACAGGGGCTAATGGAGAACTAGAAAATCAGTCTTTGAAAACGGCACAAATCAAAGATCTTTTAGAAGGGCAAGGATAAAAGCGACAGTAGTAATCTTTTCACCCAAAAAGGTTCTCTGAGATAGCAGTCACTTTCAATGGGGTCATCTTCCAGTGTAAAAAAGGTCAACAAAAAGAGAATAGACATACAGAGTATTAAAATACAGAGTCATGAGCTGATACAATATCAAAGACATTACCATTTGGAAATGCCATTTCAAAAATTCAACAAAGGAACAACAGGGAGAAAGGTAATTAGTTAAACACAACCTCATCACTACCATCACTATGTCCCCTTTCAGCCAAGGAGTTCAATTCATGTCCAGAGCTCGTAATTCCTAACTTCTCATGATTTTGAGGCAAACCTACTACAAATTATTTTTCATATACACAACTCACCAGCAAAAGCTCTTCAAAACCAAAATATTAAACTCCTCTGGTGGACTAACATAAAAGAGGACATTTACAAAAGCTCAGTAATAAGGATATGGATATAAACTCGAAAAAAATTAGAAAAATTTTTTTCCAATAAAAAAGTCTGTTAAGTATAAGATTAATTAGAGAACTCGTCTGAAAGGTAAAAGTAAAGGAAAAAAAACTCAGCACAAATAGCTCTACATATGTAAAAGACTATAAAGGATACACACAAAAATTAGTAGAAGAGTCCCTGAGGCATTTAGAACTAAGCTGGACAGCAAAGATCTAAGAGAAATTATTTACTGACCAGATTAAGGACAACTTGAGTTAATACACTGAGTCCACCTCTCTTTCTGGTTATATTTTTTAATTATCTGTGTCTAAACTTCAATTGGGAAAAAAATAATAAAGAGAAAGAATAAATAAATAAAATAAACTTCAATGGAAATTCCTCAATTCCCTATATTTTCAAATATTCTAAAATTTCCAAAGATCCCCTTCTTATAAAGCAATTCCTTTTTAACAGTACTTCCAGGCAGTTTAGCATCATTCTCACTTAAAAACTTTTACTTCTGAGAAAGGTAACTCATTACAATTTCCTGAAATATACAAACATCCTGAATTTTTCCAAATTGGGAGGTGGCGGCTCATGTAGAAGGGGATTAGGGATGCTGGCCCAAATCTCTAGAATCTGATTTCCTTTCCTGAGTCACACTCACCTTAGTACCAAAAGTGAATACACACTTCCTACCAGCCTCGACTTGCCCTTGCCTCTCTGCCTAGGCGGGCCTCCACGCTATTCCCAGCCTATACCCTGAGTTGCTCCCACCTCAGTTTTTGTCTCAGGGTCTTTGCCCTAACCTTGGGCAGTCTTCCCCCATACAGCTAAAGGAATAGCACTTCTCTCTCTCCCAGGACTTTCTTCAAATATTACCTTTACAGTGAGGCCTTCTCAGAGCACTGGATTTCAAATTAACCCCTCTCCCAACTCCCTATTATCCTATCTTCCTGTCTCATTTTTTTCCCACATCACTTACCACTACACTTTATATTTTACCTAAGTATTTATCTGTTTGGAAATGAGCTCCACAGAGACAGGAATTTTTTCTGTTTTGTTCCCAATACCCAACAGTTTAATAAGTGCTCAATATTTATCAATTACACGAATGTATGAATGAAAGAATGAATGAATGAATGAATTGAAGCACATGGTCCCTTCTTCCTCCCCAGCCTCAAAATTCTAAAATGCTTTATCACATATTAAAAAAGTATGAACTCTTCCTTTCCAGTGAATCACTACTATCGCCAGTGTATTCCTCAGTGTTAAATGCCCAAGGATCATATGACATTTTTCCAAATATATGCCACTTTGCAATTTTTTTCTAGTGTCCTCTTCTGACATCAGATGTAACAGAAAAGTACACATTTCAGTTTAACTCCAAAGCTGCTATGCTGAGAATAAAACACATAAAAACATCAATGAAGGAGAGAAAGCATTTGTCTTCTAACCAAAATGGACAGACTCTGTAAGGCTAGAGATGCAAATACTAAAAGGACGAAATTAATGTACAGAAAGGATGACAAAAAAAATTTTTATAATCTAGGAAGTCATTAGACTTTAAAAAAGAAATACTACATAAGGAAACAATATCTTCCCTCAAAACTGGGATTCAAAACTGCCTCTAATCCAAGGTATACAGCAGTAGATAGGAAGCTGTTCACAGGTTTTAGCCCTTACTATTTCTTTCAAGTAAAATTGAATACTTACTTTTCTTACGGAGAGACTAAGTGCTTTGACATTCCGCAAAATGGGGGGAAAAAAAAAAAAAACAGAACTAGATAAACGCAAAGCAACGCTGCTGCTTTCCAAACACGGTCATACAACCTGCTTCTTTCATACCCCTCTTCCCTGCTCGCTTGAATTATGTTTCAACCACAAAACTGAAGTATTCAGAGTGCTTCATGAGAAACTGCTGGCACTTAAGGCTGTTACCCATTTCAACCTTAGTGAACGTTCGGGTCCCCAAAGCTGTCACGGGCTCTACTTTCCTAGCGTCAGTCCCAGGTTCCAATCATGGCTCCACCTTGCCTCGGGCCTGGTCCAGACCCAGTCCTCTCGCCACGGAAGGAGTCTCTCCCGTCCAAGAGGCTCCGTGGGGAAGGCAAGGGGGCACCTCCCAGAGGCCAGGTGTGGGCAGGACTGGCCGAGGCAGCTGTCCGGCCGCAGCAGCTGTGACCGGGGTACCCCGAGGCTGGGCGGGTGACAGGCCCCCACGAGCAGGCAGTGGAAGGCGAGCCCTCTAGTCCTGAGAGACCGGCCTGACACTGCCCACCCCACCACCCTCCTCCTTTCCTCGGCTCCCCCCTGTGGCATTGCCCCGGAGGTGGGAGCTCCCCGCGGCCGAGACGTTCCCGGACCCACCGTGCCCCTCGCCCGGAAGGAGGCTCTCTCCGGCCCCGCACCTGAACT